GAGAAAGTCGGCTCAGATTTAGATATAGCTCCCATATATAGCTTCGTCCGATTTCATGTAAATGGTGCACCAAAGTCCCTATATATCCTTCGATTTGCACGAAATTTGGCATAACGTACTGAATTGAGCCTAGATTGATGTCTGCCAAGTTTCGAGAAAATCGGTCCAGATTTAGATATAGCTCCCATATATAATTTCGTCCGATTTAATGTAAATGGTGTATCAATGTCCCTATATATCTTTGGATTTGCACGAAATTTGGCATAACGTACTGAATTGAGCCTAGAATGATGTCTGCCAAGCTTCGAGAAAATCGGTCCAGATTTAGATATAGCTCCCATATATAGTTTCGTCCGATTTCATGTAAATGGTGCACCAAAGTCCCTATATATCTTTCGATTTGCACGAAATTTGGCAGAACGTACTGAATTGAGCCTAGAGTGATGTCTGCCAAGTTTCGAGAAAATCGGTCCAGATTTAGATATAGCTCCCATATATAGTTTCGTCCGATTTCATGTAAATGGTGCCCCAAAGTCCCTATATATCTTTCGATTGGCACGAATTTTGGCATAACGTACTGAATTAAGCCTAGAGTGATGTCTGCCAAGTTTCGAGAAAATCGGTCCAGATTTAGATATAGCTCCCATATATAATTTCGTCCGATTTAATGTAAATGGTGTATCAAAGTCCCTATATATCTTTGGATTTGCACGAAATTTGGCATAACGTACTGAATTGAGCCTAGAATGATGTCTGCCAAGTTTCGATCGGTCCAGATTTAGATATAGCTCCCATATATAGTTTCGTCCGATTTCATGTAAATGGTGCACCAAAGTCCCTATATATCTTTCGATTTGTACGAAATTTGGCAGAACGTACTGAATTGAGCCTAGAGTGATGTTTGCCAAGTTTCGAGAAAATCGGTCCAGATTTAGATATAGCTCCCATATATAATTTCGTCCGATTTCATGTAAATGGTGCATTAAAGTCCCTATATATCTTTCGATTTGCACGAAATTTGGCATAACGTACTAAATTGAGCCTAGAGTGATGTCTGCCTTGTTTCGTGAAAATCGGTCTAGATTTAGATGTAGCTCCCTTTTATTATAGATTGATTTTAAGTAATTGACGCACCAAGGAACCAATAGGAACAAAACATTCTGAGATTAGTATAACCTAACCTGTGACAAGTTTGTTTGAAATCGCTTAATATTTGGATAGAGCTTCCATATATATTTTCGCCCGATTGATGTCAGATTGACATCAAATTTTGCACAACGTACAAAATTGCGTAGTTGCGTTTTCTAGAAGCACAGACATAGCCCAACGGATGACCTATTTATATTTGTTTGAAGTCGAATTACATACTTTATGGATAGATATAGGTAGATGCACACTTATATAAATACCACATATTTTATTTCATCCAATTTCATGTTAATAGCCCTGTTTAATATACCCATAGTGGTGAAGGGTATCATATAGTCGGCCCCGTCCGACTTTACTTCTTTCCTTACTGGTTTTTTATTAACAAACAATAATAATCGTCGTTTCCGCATGTAAGTGGCCTATCGAAGCAATATTTTGCAAGTATTGAATACATATACACTGTTGTCACATATCTCACCACAAACCGGCCCACTATGTCGCGAGTTCATATAAACGGCGGCCAAAAATAGAAAGAGTTATCGTAACTTAATGAAATTTGGTACATGTGCTTATTATTGGCCTAAAGAGCAACTGACTAAAAATTGGATATATTGGACCGTCATTTGGTATACCTGCCATATAATGGGTCTTGAGAATGTCACACTTTTTGGCCTATACAATCTTTAATATTCAACCAAATGAAAATTGACAATTTACATTTACTTAGGCCTACTGCAACTGACCAAAAACTGAAAAAATCGGACCAAGATTTGATATACCTCCCATAAAAAGGGTCTTGAGAATTTTATTATTTTGGGCTATATAATCTTTAATATTCAACCAAGCTCAATGAACATTGGCAATTTATATTAACTTATGCCTATAAAGCATAGGACCAAAAACTGGATAGATCGAACCAAGATTTGATATCATTCCCATACAAAGGGTCTTGAAAAAATCCGATTTTTATTGTTTAAATTAATACAAATTCCATGAAACTGTTCATGTCTTCGTCCAAATTACTTCAAATTTGGACGTTGCAATTTAGTTGTTGGTCCATGTTACAGGAACCTACCAGGACTTTTGTCCCTAAAAAGTACTTGGTTTTGACCATTTTTGGCCGCGGTCGTGATACTGTGCGGCCTATCCATTCAATAAGGTTTTATGTCTGCTCCAACATACTGTTGGCAAATGATTTTATAACCCTGTCTCTGCTCCTGACCAAATCGCAGATAGCTGTGGCATTATTGATAGGAATTATAGACCCATCGACTTGCACATTCCGTAAAGTCGCATCTCCGATATACATGTGGTCAAGAGTATTACCGTTGACTCTGTGACGAATTAAGGTATTCAAGCAAGTTGTATGTTAATATTTATTAAAAAACAAATGCTTATAGGCCATGAAGTGGTTTAAAATATCAATTTAAAAAAATCCAGCCCAGGCAATGGTTGAAAATATTTATAAAAAAATTCACGGCGATGACCCATGAAGGGTGTGGTTAGAAATATTTATTTAAAAATCCACGACTGTGTCTCATCAAATGGTTGAAAACATTTATTAAACCAGTAAGGAAAGTTGAAAAGTCGGACTGGGCCGACTATATGATACCCTTCACCACTTTCATTCGGGCAGATTTAGAATCGTCTACATACCAAGGGACAAATTTATGGAAAACGATTTATAGCAAAATTGATATACGCTATTCGCACTGTTAAAAATTTAATTTCTATCAGACATCCGTTCTAAATACATACGGAAGCTATGGCTGCATCTGCACCAATTTCAACAAAACGCAATAACGTCATTCTAGTCTCAATTTGATACGTTGTGAAAAATTTCGTATTAACCGGACAAACATTAGGAGTTTGGTGCACCATTTATTTAAAATCGGACGAAAATATATATGGGAGCTATATCTTAATCTGAACCGATTTTCACGAAATTAAACACACATCGTTCTAGACTTAATTCAGGACGCTATGCCAAATTTCGTGTAAATCGAAGGATATATAGGGACCTTTGGTGCACCATTTACATGAATTCGGACGAAAATACATATGGGAGCAATATCTGAAACTGAACCGATTTTCACGAAATTGAACACACATCGTTCTAGACTTAATTTAGTACGATGTGCCAAATTCCAAATATATATATATATATGGTCTTTGGTGCCCCCTTTACCTTAAATCGGACAAAAATATGTATAGGAGCTATATCTAAATCTGAACCGATTTTTCCCAATTTCAACCGGGTTCGTCCTTGGGCCAAATAAATGAGCTGTGCCCAATTTTATTCGATTCGAATCAAAAATGTAACCTGTACTTTGTTTACATTTTAACATGGATAGACGGACATGCATAAATCGACTTAAAAAGTGATTCTATGCATATTCTCAAAAGGAACCATGTGTCTATCTCATTTCCTTTTGCCTGTTACAAACATATGCACAAAGACATAATACCCTGTACCACAATGTGGTGAACGGTATAAAAATCAATCAAATCATATTTTCAAAATCCACTGCCTGTGATAGTCTTAAAAAAATTCATGCTAGTCCTTTAAAACTATTTTGAAAAATCCATTTTTCTGTTAGTGCGTATAATTTGTTTAAATCAGCACTTTATATACCTTATAAAAATATTTATTGTCAAGAGAATAGTCAATATCTTTCTAAACTTTAACATTTCACATAACCTAGAAAAATATGTCAAAATTTGAGCATCAACTCTTTGTTAATTCTTCTTTTAACTTTTTATTTTTAGACAGATAAATCTGAAATCTCCACTATAGAATGTAAAACAAATAAGAAAATATTTACACTTAAAATAAACCACAATAATGTATCTTTTGATTATTTATTTCTTTCTTTGTATCTTTGCAGATATCACAAACATTGATTGTTCTTCAGAGTCGTCTAACAAGAGCTGCTCTTAAATAACACAAATAAATAGAACAAAAACGAAGTGGGACAGAAGAAGAAAAAATACTATCAACAAAATAAGAAATAAAAATAATAAAAGTCACAAACACACACACAGAAAGCCATTCAATCACAGATACATAAGTCCGAATCATCATCTTTACGTCTTCATCCGACGATGCCGATGATGATGATAGGAACTCCATGAGAGTCAGAATAGTAGCGGACAAAGAAAAATCCTTATGACCAAACCATCATCACTAGCCGTCACTTAAAATGACAATGAATTAAGAGTATTGTGTGCTTTTCGGTTTTCCATTGTGACAACAATACAAGAAATAGTCGGGAAAATACCAGATTCAAATAAAGCGAAGAAAGCACAAGAGTAAATCCATAATAAGACCCGTGATTAATAGTCCCAGAGTGAAAGAATGCAAAGAATGTTGTTGCTGTTGTCCTGATGACATAAATACCAGGAATAACCATTATCAACATCAGCTAGCATTGACAACCGCAACAATAACAATAAACAGTATATCTTAACAGGAACTTCATTAGTGGAGAATACTTCAGCAAAGAAGAGACGAGAGTGGAAAAAATATCACTGCGCCACATAAAGCTCAATTTTTTGGTCCTTAGAAACTAAGCCATACAAAATACCCACACACACATAAAAAGTACTCCTTGCAAGGAAACCTTAAAAGGAAAAAATAACAAAAATGCATTAAATTATCATTACTACCCCAAAAAATCAAATTATAGCCAACAATTTAGCCACATTGTTGTTGTAGTCATCATTCTAAAAAAAGAAAGAAATCGCCAAACGAAAATATTTTTTTATTATTATTTTTCTAATAAAAACCAGCCTTGGTAACGGTCTTCATCTTAGCACCGTTGCCAACGCGCTTCACGTACACGCCCATTATGGATGACTCTACCATTAGCATGCCCCTTGTGGCAAAGGAAGATTGCATGAAAGCCCTTATCAAGCCAACAAATGATAATACCACAGTGGTCAGTTTTCAAAAGAATCCAATTATAACGACTACCAATTCCACGCCAACCAATGTCAATTCAAATGCGAATATCGCCACCGCCGCCGCCGCTGCTGCTGCCGCCAACGTGCAACAGTATCATCACAACCAACAGCAGCAACAACAACACAACAATCAGTTACCATTACAGCCAACAAATTTTGTGGGGAACAATCTGAAGAATGGTTCTTTGAGTTATGGGTAAGTGTTTGTAAAAAATCTTTTTTTATTTGAAATATTTAATTAGTTATTTTATGGGTTATAATAAAAATAAAATTAAAAATAATCCTTATTATGGGAAATCTTTGGCAGTTATGTTAAATGAATTAATTGAAATCAGACGTTTTTATGAATTATATTCAATTCTTTCTGGAAGAATTTTTTTATTCACCAGGAATCTGGAATGCCAAATTTCAGCCACTTCGTTGTGAAAATTTTACTAAAACCTTCCACTTTGGAGGAGAAATTTAAAATACTGATCTGAAAATACTGAGGAATTCTTCCATACCATACTCCAAGGTCCCAGATTGCCAAATTGCAGCCACTTTGGTGAGCGAAATTCGGAAACAAAAAAATGCATCTCAACCCCCAAGAACCAGGAACACCAAGCCACTAAAACACCCAAAAGACCGAAAATGAGGAGATCCTTTATTTATTTGTTTGCAATGACTCAATAACCCGAATGCAAACGTATAACTTATTTTTGTAATAATGCCTAAACCTACTAAGGCTGCGAAGAATTCGTCGAATATTATATTCTTGACTAGAATAAAATTCTATGTATATTTTGATATGTCCGGCCGTCTGAGAATTTGGGAAACGGAAATGCCTCTAATTTAATGATTTGTGTAATATTAATATCCTACACAACCATGTTGTAACGCCGCGAGATATTGGTCCTAGACCCACCATTTATTATACCGATCGTTATATCTCGACTAGCTGGAATATGCCTAACTGTTTTGGTGAATATCGGTTAATATTTAGCGGGTCGAATGGACCCAGAATTTTGTGTAAAAAATTCTAAAATTTGTATTCGATGATGCATATAAAGAGTGATTTGTTAAGAGCTTGATAACTTTTTTTTAAAAAAACGCATAAAATTTGCAAAATCTCATGTGGTCGAATAACACAAACCCAATTGCTGCGAACGGCGACGAATCGACATTTCACGGTCTTCAGCAACACTCTCAGAAACATACGCAATATTCTCTTCTGTACGCACTGTACGCATTCGTGTGGTTGGTTTAATGTCCAATAAAGTAAACTGAGTGCGAATCTTGGTCACAATCGCATTAATTGTTTGCTCACTTGGTCGATTATGTAGACCATAAATCGGACGTAAAGCGCGAAGCACATTTCGAACCGAACACTGATTTTGGTAATAAAATTCAATGATTTGCAAGCGTTGCTCGTTAGTAAGTCTATTCATGATGAAATGTCAAAGCATACTGAGCATCTTTCTCTTTGACACCATGTCTGAAATCCCACGTGATCTGTCAAATACTAATGCATGAAAATCCTAACCTCAAAAAAATCACCCTTTATTTACTCCAGAAGGACGCCCCAAATAGAATGACCCTTGTGCCAAATGATTTGAGGATGTTAAACACGTTTTTCCAACCGAATTAGCTGTAATTAGATATTTTTGTTTCTCATTGGATAGCAACTCTCCCTACCAAAACTTATTACTATCCACCAACTTTTGGTAAAGCCCCCACATAACCGCAATCTCCAAATGTTGGTATTTTGAATATTTTGGACTCGCTTTTCTACCAATTAGACTGTAATATAATACTATGGATAACCACCAGGTGGGAAATTTTCCTACAAAATGTTTTTTAGGGTAGTCTTCATATAAAGGCACCTCACAAATTTCAGTATTTTGGGAAAATTTTATACGTTATAAACATAAAGTATCAATAGTGGCCCAAGTTATGGGGTATTTTTGGCACCGAACTTTGCTCCAATTTATTTTGAGTTTTCATTAGGTAGCACGTTTTGTTGTGGGCCCCACACAACCGTACCCTCAAATATTCAGTATATTGGGGAGTTCAACTGAATTGACTCTAGTTTACTATTTAGAATTATTATTTACTCCGATAAAATTGTTTCAATATTTGCCAAACTAAAAGGTCGGCTCATTTCAAAATATCTGTTGCAATCCTGACCTTGTAGTTTTCCAACCAACGATGTATAAACTGCAGACAACATTCCATAAGTATCAGGGATAAAAGTAGGGCTAGTCGCACCGCAGTAAGGAATTCTATCATCACGCCTGTGCGTTGCCACTATCAATAGTCTCTTAAGGGGACTTCCACCATTCTCGATTTTAAATGTTCAAGATTTTATTGGTTTGTAACTTTGCACATATATAATTGAAGATTTAAAAGAGAAGAAATATAATTTGCAAAATGTGGTTGTTGTTGTTATTGCCTTCGCTCAAAAGTGAACAAAATTGCGGACATTTGTTTTTTTTTTGGAATGTCGCCTATTTTTGTTCGATGTGCTTTATCCTAGTTCATACGATAGCTGTACACTCCAGGAGAATCGTGTCAAATTCTGGAACCGATTGGATTATTAGTTTTTGAGTTACCGTGCCCGCCATTCGTAAACACACAATTTAGAGAAAAATGCGTTTAAAGTTTGAGAATCACTTCTGCCGTCACTTGATGCTGACACAATAAATCGGCTATATTTTCAAGAGTTCTTGGGATTTTTACTTGAAATTTTGTGAATATCTGGAGTCATCCTAGACAGAAAACATAAATGCAAAGACATACATGTACAACAACTGGTCACAAAGGTCACACATCCTGGTCCTTCTGCAGAAGAGCCGAAGGATCTACATGGTGTTTCAATCCAAAGATGATACACTGGATACGTATGAGACATATGCATCGGTAGTCTGGTGGAGAGTAATGAACAAAAATGTAATGTAAACTCGTTACTGAAAGTCCAGAGAACATGCAAGGTATATGAGAGACAATGAGAACAACATCAACTAGAGCTTTGGAGACTATATTTTATATACATCCAATTAAAATCTAAATAAAGTTTGAAGCGGACATCGCAGGTTTAATACTTCAAGCTATGCTAGCCGGGAGCCATCTGTGTAATTACAGGAAAGTCGGCTAGCAGGAAATTCTGAATATTCTGGTGTAATTTCTTACTTTTCCACCAATTGTACTTATTATGGTACCATTTGAAACTTATCGTACAGTTATACACATATAACGTTGTCATAATTTCTGGCAAGATACTAGCTCCCCAACTCCCCAAATATCTACTGTATTAATTACATAAAATTTCATAAATTTTATAACTAATTTAAACAACCACCTTCAACTCTACACATCAAACGCATTTTAGAGTTTATGTTTCAAAGCTATATGCTATGCGTTAAATTCGGCTGTTGTACATTTATTCAGTTCTTTTGATATAAATAGATCATTCATTTAGTTTATAGTTCATTCGAAATAAACTACCTTAAAGCAACTATTCCGCAAACGGAACGATCGGTTCCAATCTTTAATTTTTTTCTCTCGTTCACCTAGTTCTTTTTGATTCAATCGTTCATCTAGATCTTGCCGTTCATTGACCGAATTAACTGCATATACCAACGAACGATTAAACAAAATGAATGACCTGGAACCTTTTGTGGAACGAACCGAAACTCTGCACTATTTAGTTCATTGATCAATCGGTCGTCATTTACATATGCCGTTTATAGTTCACTAACTAATTCGGTAATCGATCAAAGGCAATGAAACTTTTTCTTTTCGAATTTTTGGTGAGTGAATCATCATTCTATTTCGTTTTCATTCATCTTTCTATTTGTAAAAAATATGACTTCATACTTTTACTAAAACCAAACAAAAACTATGACACATTTTTGTTGACCTCACAAAAACATTCATTCATTCAAATTTATTTACAATGATTCCTTCCTTTTTCAATAAAATTATCTCCAAAAGGATTCATTGCTTTCGAATGAAGGACGACGATTCAGTTGTTTTGTTCCACCACACTATTTTTCTAATTTGTATTACTCTTAATGCTCGTATAACCAACACAAGGCCACAAAAGATTGGCAAAGATTTGACATGTCGTAAAATATGAAGTCAGTCAGTAAGAAAAGTAAAATAAATAAACAAAAAACGTCTCCCCCTTGACGTTTCAAACCCCTAACGAGATTACTTCTAAACCACCAGCATCATCATCTATGGGTCAACGGGAAAGTAAAGATGGCAAAGTGTTAAGTTTCACACAAGGCCACTTAATAATGCTCTTGGGAGGATGATGATGATGGTTTGAAGAGCATACTTTTAGGATGAAAAGGTAAAACAGTTCTAAAGGGGGAATTTGTAGCATATGTTTTGTATTCAAATATTGGAGTATACATTTAGGGGGAATAAAATTATTTTTTATTTAATTTTTTTAATCCTTGTGGCTTTCTTTCTTATCTTTAAAAAATTATAACTGGTTATTTATTTTAATTACTTTTTTCCTCAATTGGTTTCCAGCCACTGTTTACATCTTTTGATCCCTAATGTTATTAATTATCAAAATTAAGCCACGACCTAAGACACAGACTCCGTAATTATTTAGGGGCAGAATGGTTGTTTATCAAATACAAAGATTTAATAGAATTTTGACAAGTAATGTCAGAGGTCGGGGATAAAAATGATAAATGAATGACATTGTACATGCCTTCTTCTGATGACATTTGTGTTAACATTAAGACACAAAAACATGGAGAATATCTCAAAATCTCTGAGGATTAGCACGTTTAACATCAATCTTGGTCGACTTAGGTTTTGATAATTGTGGATTCTTATTTAGAAAGGGTGTGCTATGTAAACAACATCTATTGGCGTGTTATTTTTGTTGTTTGTAAATTATAGGCTAATTTTAGGTGTTTGTATATAATTTCGATGCATTTTCTAACGCCTATTGTAAGGGTCTATTTTTCACACTTTTAACCCGCACGGAGTGAAGAAAAATATATTCATGATAAGATTTTAAGATTCTCAAATTAAAAACTATTGAATTTCGAAGTTCAGAGTATATAAATTCTTCTCTAATTAAAGCCTCCCATGTATCGAATTATGTCCGCTACATGGAATTGTACATATTGTAATTATTACGGGATAGTTATGATTATATTTGCCGTTGCGTTCCTGTTATCGAATACCAGA